TAAAAACCAATAAAGAATATATTCGACACTGAACTTGATTCAAAGAAGTATCGATGTATCTATGAAAATCACAAAGAGAGTTTTTGAAAAGCATTGTTGTCATCAATGACTAGTGATCAGTGTGACTACTGTGGGTGACGGGAGTCACAATTGGCACATATTTTATTACTTATAGTGATAGTGAATCAAATTTTCTACATAAAAATGACTATAAAAAATATTAAGAAGATATCGGAGTCGAGCAAAAGAAAAATCACCATTGCATATCAACAAAAATGAGGTAAACGCAGATATTATTACTGGATTGCTATTCTCTGTGTGCTTATTGTCTAAGAAGAAACAATGTGCAGGATTTATTCTTTAATCCATAACTTTTAAGTATTTTCGTTCGAAGTTTCTGCCTTGTGAACCATAGAATTGTCTTAACTTAACGTTATTACAACGTAAATTACATATAACATTTGATTTATTTTACCAGAATATTCCTTCTATAATATTTTTATTTTGAATTCAAGGCCACTTTCCACTAAACAAAGTGAGTCGTTGGCAGAACTACTGTTTACTATTAGTATGAGCTTTTCTTCCACATAAAAGTAATTTCGTAATAAGAATTTTAAAAACATTATGGAGTGAGAATCAAAAGAAGTTGTTCTTGCAGAGCACTACTGTTACAGCTTGTCAAAGTTTAATAACTTCTCAATTTCAACTTTTTCTTTACTTAAGAAAAAAACACGAATATATACATTTAAAAAAGAGTTTTAATAGCAGATCATTTGTATTCTCTTACCTTTGAACTTGATCATAACATCTCACCATTTCATTACCGATAATGGTTATTGATATTTTCTGAAATCCTTCAGATAAAAAGATATCGTTCACATCCGATACTGAAATGAATTGCTCAAGATTTGCTGTAGACTGAATATAGTGTTGATTCTTAGAAGAAAATCTTGGGAATAATGTCATTTATTATGTGAATATTTCTAAAGAAATCATTTTAAATGAGGGGCTATCATTATTACGATGCCTTCGAATTAAAAACTATCAAGCTTTCGAATAGTTGAGAAAATAAAAAGTTCTATGGGACATGTAGCAATACGATTTTGCCAAATAATTTCATCTCAAAGGATTTTGTACAGGTAGGAAATAGTCATTGACACACTTCAATTATGTTGAAGGAAGTGTAGAAAAAACACTTTACTGATGAATGCGAGCTTTTTCTCTTTATTAAATATAGTTATTGTTCAGATTTCATAAGTGTTTCTAAAATAAATATTTTGCTGGTACCAAAATTAGAGTTCAACGGTGTAGGTATTAGTCTAGATTTCATTTAAGATTCACATTCATACCCATATTCACCTTGTTTAATTTGAAGAATGTAAGGCATTACACCAAAAATCTATCTGATATATATCCTTCAACTTGCGAAGTCTATCTCCACCTTCTCCGGTGAAACCACAGTTCATAACTTGCAATAATTTAATGGATGGGTTATGATCGACCATATTAATGATAGAATCGATACTTGCATCAGTTACCAAATGGTTGCCATTGATAAACAAGTTAGAGATATTCGTATTAACGTTAGTCAACACATCGGTTAACAGCTTTACACCTTGATCGCTTATTAGATTGCCATCTAGGTTCAGTTCAGTCAATGTTCGATTTGTCTTGAGCATTTGAGATATATACCGAATGCCATTGTCCGTGATCCCACAACCATCAAGCTTGAGGACTGAAATCGTTGAGTTGTTGCCCGCGCGTACCTTTGAAAGAAAATGCAAAATTCTTATGAATTTTGTATTATTTGTCTCAGTAACTATAACAGATAGAAAACTCAAATTTTAGCATAGTTGCTTTAAAAATCATCCTAATAGACGGAAAAATATATAAAAAAAGATTACTAATTGAAAGTATCAAAAAACTTATGATAAATACTTTATCAACGGAGTCAAAAGATTTTTAAGACAAGGATGTCTTATCAATGCTGTGTAGTATTGAATGAGAAAATCGACACTCACTTTATTGTTAGATTCATCGTCCTTATGAATACTTTCGTCAGGTGTGAGCAGATTGGCCAACAGTTCAGCACCTTGATCACCCATTTGTGGATTTCTGCTTAGATCGAGTACTTTTAATGTTTTGTTGTTGCGTAATCCGTCGGTCAAAATTGAGACATATTTTGGTGTAAGCGTATCGCCTTGTATCACAAGCTCCCTGCACTGTTTTTTGATAATCGCTTCTTTGATCACAATTTCCATATCTTGTTCATTCAATGGTTGACACGATAAGGATATATACGAGTGAAGTGGTCGTTCAGCGATTATTTGTTCGAGTTTCGGATTGGAATAATTGTCAGTTACTTTAGCTGACGATTCTTTCGATGAATTTTGTTTACTAACACATTTGCCCATGTCGAATAGTAAGAAAATTTCAATACACAGATAGAGAAGAAAGTATCTGAAGAGTAAGACAAAAGAACATTTATTATTGTGTTGTCATCGTAATCGATTAACTCTACCTATTGACATATATCAAATTCTAAAAATCTTCCAAAATGTGGAGCTTTGCCTATTTAAACGAGATAGATTATGGATTGTATTGTGTACTTTATTTTTATTGTTCTATTATTTGAAGTTCTCATCAATTCAATGAATTATAGTACTTTTCAGGAAACTGATTTTACTGCTAAGAGATTTTAAATCTGCACAGTGGGCCTATTCGATATTAAAAAAGAGACGCTTTCTTAGCCCTTCCAGAGTATCCACACTGAGAAAGATGGTTTGTGTATTTGTTAACTTAAAGCTGTCTATTTCATTGGTTCAAACTGTGTTGACGGGTGAGAAATAAATGGTATTCGATAAAACTATTTAATTTTTGGAGATGAATTTAGTTTTCCGAAGATTCGTTCGTATTTCCGATAAATGGTTTCGTCTCTGGAAATTCAGTCACTTTCCTGAAAGGTCTCGCATCAGGTATCATGTGGTCATTATGCTCATACAATGAATAGACGATGTTAAAGCACGTTGAAATGAGATAACATCATCATTTACTATTTACTCAACTGTCTAGAAAAGATATTGAAGATGCTCTTGTTGTTACAAGTGAGAAACATATTAATCTATTCGACGATAAAAAACAGATCGATCATACAAAATAAATCATTTTGTTTCTCTGCAGCAAGAAAAACCCATTTGATGACAGCGATAATGTACATTCTATCTCTCTCTCGCTTTTTTCTTTTCTGTTCTCTTTCCATATTGAAAACAAAAAACTTGATTTGCATTGATCCGACACGCAGGTAGCTATCATTGCGAAGCTATAACAAGCACACTAATATTACCTATATATACTTTTTTTTACACTGTATTTATTTCTCGACCTTGTGTGTCTTTCACAGGTACGCTGTATAAAAACAAGAAAATATAAAGAAGTTTATGAAATCCTACACTAGGAATTCTTCGATTTTATGTCGATATCGAAGCGAATTAATAAAATGTATTATGATCTGTTTTCATTAAAAAAAAGCTCGAATATATTTTGTCTCATATAGATAATCTTGAATGCAACTTAAAAGTTGTTTAACTTGCTATTCAAAGACTTCTTTTAGGAAATAAAACCTGAACCGACCGTTTACGATTACTATTTGTAATTCTAATCCATTCTTGTAACAGTTCATGTACGAATGCAACATATTTAACTGTTTCTATAGATAAATTTCTTACTGTTAATTGGTTGAAATATTTTTGTTTTGATGCTTCATACGAGAAACATAGTGTCAGTAGTAATGATTTACATAAATAAAAAAACCAAAACAATATCAATTAATGCTCAAAGTTTTTTCTCATTGCAGAGAAAAAAGAAAAAGCTTTCTTCGTCTTGAATCAAATGCACACTAATCGCAATTTCTCCAGAATAGTTTATTTTCACCTTTTCATGCATGATTGAATAGAACACATTAATTTAATTTGATACAGAGTCTCTTCATTTCTTTTTCTTTTCGTGACACAAATCACTTCGAAAATAGTCAAAACTTTTTCTTATTTTGCTTAGAGTTCTAATTGAAAAAGATAATTAAGAGTGACGAAACAATAAAAACAGATTTTCAGAATCAAAACTTGAAAACATGAGAAGAAAAGCTGAATCGATAGCACATAGATACAATTAGAAAATATTTTTAATCGACATTTTGCTTATGAAAAATTAGAGATTAACATGAATCGAAAAATATTGTGTTTCTTCGACTCAATTTTGTATACGAATTCTGAAAATCGAAGATGCACTTTATCAAAATACTTCAATATTCTTTAGTAAATCATTGAAGAAAAAGTTATTGAGAAATTTTGATCACTGCGCCTTAAAATGCATATTGAAAGAACTCGTTCTCTAAAATCAAATTGTTCCTTCTATTGAAAGGAAGGTAATACGTTGAGTTACTCCTATGATGAGATGTTCGTTAGTTCGCAAGAAAAAAAAATATGTACTTCAGAACGAAAGAAATATGTATATAATATGTGCATTGGAGAACGAAAGAAAATCTATATATGTTAATTTTATTGGTCTTAATTTGATTGACTTGAGAAGGAAAAAGTTGTTTGTAAATTGAATGAAATTACTTTTTATTTTTAAAGTTTCATTCAGGGTGTGGGTGTGATGCTTGTATTCTATGCATTCACACCCACACCCCATATATTAAATAGTCTTCAACAGATCTTTATAACTAGAGACCTGTATGATAATCAATATTATTCACATGTCCCAACATAGCCTTTCATCAGAATAATTAACTTCACTGTGTTTTCAACATTTTATTGGATCATTTTCAATTTCACCGAGCGTGTAATTTCTGATATAAATATTTCGACTAACTCAGTTTTTGCATGCAACAAACAATGTTTATTATAATTGCAATAATAATTTCTTTGTTAATTGCTTTTCTATTCACTTTTCCACGCTATATCAAACAAGATGATTTCACTACGTTCCAGAAGTATTTAACTATGAAACAAAATTTATTATCTGTTATGACATGTAATATCCGTTTTGATGTGCAAGAACATGATCCAAATAATCATTTTACAAAACGAGTTTATCGTTTAACAGAGACTATTGAAAAATGGCAACCATCTATTCTAAGTGTTCAAGAACCATTTACTAACTATATACAACACTGGTAATCTCACCTATCAAAATATTATGATTGTATTGGTTATAAATCCGATTGCGAGCACTAATCATCTGATAGAGATTATCAAGCGGCTATTTTATATAACAATCAAATATTAAAATTACTAGAACAAGATTATATATGGTTATCAAAAACACCGGGTGTTATTGATAGTAAAGATTGGGATAGTTTAAGAGTACGAACATTGAATATAGCAAGATTGGAATTAATAAATGATGATCAACATGCAAATATTCTTGTTTTTAATACTCATTTGGACGTCACAAGTGAAGAAGCACGACGTGAACAAGCAAATATTGTTCGAACTACAATTGAACAATGGCATAATAAATATCCCAAGGCTGTTGTTCTTTTATTTGAAGATTTTTTTAATTCGATTCCGAAACAAACTTCATATAACACATTAGCATCTGGGTTTTTACATGATACTTGAACAGTTTGTAAATCCATATGTATGGTGAATTCGTTTTCAGTAACATTTCATGGTTGGTTCGGAGCAATTATTAATACATATGGATTTCAATTATTACAAACGACTTTATTTACTTTTCATGGTTCAGGTGTTAAACTATTGTATCAAATACCGAGAAGAATTTCATTTTATGTTGATATTGTAAGAAAATTATGAAAATCTCGTCGAATGATCAATTTATCAGATATGATTTCATTATGGTCTCAACATCGATTTCATGTTGATTGGATTTTATATAGAAATTCACTTGATGGAAATGAATATTTAGAACCACGATTCATGGCTGTAGTCGATGTCCGATCTCGAAATTATTCTTCGGATCATTTGCCAGTTGTTGCTGTATTCCAATTGAAAAACAATAGAGAAAATTCATTCTTAGTGAATGAGTCTTAATTTTGATTAATTAAACATAAACTTCTATTTTTAATGACGATATAAAAAACATTATCCAGTGATATGAATGCACTGAGTAATAAAATCAGTTAAATAACTGCAATTAAAATCTAAATAAGTTCGAAAACAAAGTCGCAGGATTCTTTCTTATTAAGCTATTGATAGGGATTAACTTTTTATGACCGAAGCTTCCCAAATGACATACTTTCCAGCTAAACATCCAGAAGAGTGTATAAGAAAAAAGAAAAATTTCGAGAGCCACCGATTCGTTCGGAAAATTTTTCAAAATTGTTGAATGAAATCGTCAAAGATTAAAGATTATCTACCACCAATTAGGACATGCTTCAACATGTAAGTAACTAAATGATTCTTTACTGTTAATTTAATTTTACATAGATATATAAAGTTCTTATACCTATTGACTTCTCTTGCTCGAAATGAATAAGTAACATTATATAGATCGTTAATCCCCATTTTAATAATAAGAGTGTGGGTGTGGACTCATCACAGTACACCCAAATTCACCCATTGTAGTTTAAAAAATAGTTAGCAAATCTCGAACAACTAAACAATGCTGACACTTTGAAAAAGAAACAAATGATTATCTTTGAAAATTTAAATAAATCAGAATTCGTTCGAGAATCGAAAATTTTTTATTGAAGAAAAAAATATTTTTCAAGAAAAATTCCCACAGATGGAGAAATTTCCAAAATTTTTCCCGTACGCTCACGTCGGCTGATTCTGCACTCCTGCATCAGAGTCTATCATTATTTGATTAGAATCCATATAGAAGATGTCAGTCATTGGAAAAACAGATCCTAGAGTCTCAAAATTGGTTCTTGCCTATTGCAGGAGACTATACACTCGACAGAAAACTGTTTTCTCATAGCAAGCACTGAGTAAATATTCTAGACTTTTAGTATGAACATCGTCTACAAGTGGTCTAGCTTCGCATAAAATCGATCACTAGTTCTATTATTCTTGCTTCTTATTAGTAGTAGAATTTTAACTGACTTTATGTTATTAACTCTCTTTATTTCGAAAGTTGCATTCCCAGATGAAAGAATCAGATTCTAAGATCATACGAAAATCTTAAAGCCAAATCATCGTATTGATTCGTATAATGTAAGATCTAATAATGCCATAAGATTTTTGGTGAAATCTTACAATAAGAATTCGTACGATGAATTGGCTTTAAAATTTTTAGTATGATTTCATCTGATCTTACACGATCAGAAAGTACGATCGTAGAAGATCTCACTATATGATTCTTTCACCCTGGTTCTTCGGTTAATAATGTACCGCTGAAAGCAGTAAAAGTATGCATTAACACTTCGAATACGTACTAATAAAATGTTCTCACTAGAAAAATTTTCCTACAAAAAATTATCTTTGTGTTTATAAAGCTGTAGTAATTCAGACATTGATTCATACAGTCTTCGGCATAATTCTTTTGATTAATTTCGAATCGTTTGTACGTTTTCGAACAAATTACTGTAAAATACACAAATAAAAAATTATAACGAATGAACTCGCATGAGATTAGGTACATTGCTGGATCATCGAACTGCAAAGAAAAAGTATTTTTAATGGCAAAACTTATGCTTCTGTACACTTTGTTAATATACATATGTGTAACAACTTATTGCACCGACCATAAAAAGCTTTGATGTATCATGAAAATGCTGATAAAAACAAAAAGTATATTGAAATGTGAACGAACTTCACTCGCTGAAGAGAGAAGTCGGTGTCATACGAACAAACAAAGGTAAATGTTTCAGGTTTGAATAGAAAAATGTTATGTTTTTGGTTAATCTCTGGTTTGTGACATGTCATATGGTCGTTGAGCATTCCTTATACATTTGATTCTCATAACAATGACTGATGCAATATGTCTGTAGAATGAAACAGTAGTATTTCTGTTTCGAAGAAAGGAAAACGAAGCCAAAACTCATATTCGAGAATGAATTCTTTACTAAGGGTGTGAGTGTGGATTTTTTTAATGAGATTGACATTATGATGAAAATAAATTATAAAGTCATTCAGATTAACACAGTTTCGATGTGAATCTTAGAATTTATTTATTTGCCACTTCAAGTGCATTACCTAATAAAAAAATTAAATCCAAAAGAATGATTTCGTACGATTGATCTATCTTGAGGGTATACGATAAAAATGAGGATTTTCACTTAACTCATACCAGATAATAGAATAAGTTTCATTGATAATTGTTCATAAACGAGATATAATATACATTGATGTATATTAAGTACTAATGTCCATTCGTTGTTTTTTTTAATTGTAAACAAAGTGAATAAGCCATGTCTGGCACTAGTCTACACAATCTTTTTCTATTGGTACCAATAAAGGAATAAAATACTTCAGCTTCAATAAGATTATTCATGAGGGTGTAAGTGTACGCTGTTAGAGAAGGAGAATGTACTCAAACATGATTTACATTGTATACGGGATACACTTCGCAAACTTTGATTGTAGGTCATAACTGAATTATTTCGCAGAAATACATTTTTGAATATTGAATTGTCAATAACCATAAGATGATTTATATCTAGAAAAGGGATTGTACCAAATCAGCATATGGATTCACTCTAAGTCAATATTAGTATGTTGTTGGACTGAAAAGACAAGTTTTTTAATGATTATAAAACAAAATTTGTAGATGAAAACATTTCATGTCAAGTGCGTCGTTCAGAATTCAAATAATATTTATTGTAAACTTATAATTCTTAATGTTGATTAAACATAACGTCAGAAAAAAAATCTATCATCAAAAGCCAATAAGAGAAATTCAAAACTAAATTTTGATCATTTGTGTCTCACACTTTGGTTATCTGGATTTATTGAATGGCCCAAGTGAATGAAATTCAATTCAAATTTCATATACCTTGTTATATCATTGCTGGCAGTAGCAGAGCATATTGTTTTTTTTAACCATCGATTGGTTTCCAATATATGGAAAATGAATGTTTGCATGAGACCAGCAGATTATTTTTACATTTGGCAAGGAAAGTACTTGAATAATACTAATCGCAATTGATAAAAGGCGAATACAAATTACGAAATAAATCTTTTTCGATCGCATTAACTACATGAGAAATAATTGAGCAGTAGATCTTGTATAGAGACATCTGTTTTACTATGTGTTGATATGCATAAACAAAATTGTTTCTCGATAAAAAAAAAAGGGTTGAGAGTAAGAACTCTATCTTTTTCAGTTGTGATTGATTAGAATTTGTACAAAATCCAACGGACTATTGGAGCCTTTTTAAGAAAAAATATGGTTAAAATTATAACATAGTAAAGACAAAGAATAATGAATGCCGCATATCGACATATCATTTGACAGATGTTAGGTTGATTATGGCATGGTAATGGAAATCCAAGCAAACCAACACCAAAAAGAAAACCCACTAAACCACCACCGAAATGAGCCGAGTGTGCCACATTGATCTTTAAAAGAATTGGTACAACTATTATGATAACAACGGGAAGTAAAACCAACAAAAGTAAGTATAAGAGGATTGAATTTCGACGATCGGTATTCGTTCGCATTGCAATAATTCGATCAACTGTTAAGAATAACATTAAACCGTACACAGAACCTGAAGCTCCAATACTGGCTAAACAAAAAATGACCACAGGGTTATGCAATCAGTTTCTAAGGTTTGCTTATAAAATATTGAAAAACATAAGTATATGATCTACAGAAATGTCCCAAAAGTCATGATTACTTAAGCATTGTTTATAACTCCATTATCACTCAAGCAGCACCTCATAAATCTCTTTTCATTTAGAAGAACAGATCAGTAAATTTTTTTCCGTTAATCCAACATTTGTATATGCTCTTCAGTAGCTTAACTTTGAGTTTCAATATAAACTTTTTTGTGGAGAGAAAAAACTATTGATGACAGATTAGTTTTGATCAAACTGTCTTTAAAAGAATCGTCATAGAAGGTAGTAAGAAATGCGAATCGACCGACTCATGTTGGCCAACTCCATTCAAATAAAAATCCTTTCATTTAACCCTAAAATTGAGTTCAAAATTTCTTCGTTATGTTTTATATACCAGTTTTTAGCTCGTGAAATTTTCCATCGAATGATATATAGTAGTCGGGATTTTGTTTGATTATCAGAGAAAAGTTTTTTTTACGAAAATCGGCACAGGGCAATGTTCGCATAGAAAACCATAGGAAATAAATTACTCTTTTTGCGACAACTCAACGAATCATTCCCATCTTTGAATTCAACCGAGATATTGATAAAATGAAACTGTATGGAAAATTTCATCGTGATCTGATTCTCCTTTCAAAAGTTATCATGCAAACGACTGGAAGGATACATTGACCGATTCTAAAGTGTACTCACGTTTTAAGTACGCAAAACCGTTCACTGATGTCACGTCTTATTGTCAGAGAAAGCATGATTATGATCTGTCTCTTTCCATACACTTGCCATCCATAGTGAGACACAATTCTAATATGAGTATTCCTAAACAGATCGAAATTTCTTTCGTCGAACTTTACAAAGAAAACACTTGACTAGTATCA